AAATAGGTTATACTCCAAAGAGTACGCTTAGAACATATTTTCCCAAGTTTAAACAAAAGTCACACATAATAGTTGTTTCTCAGATTACCATTAAAGTCTAGAAATATTAATCTACAATATATTTTAGGTAAAATACTAACACATTGCTTCAACCAAACCTACCCACCTTTATAAATTATTTCTCTGGAGAAAAATGAATCCCATGTTATAACATGAAGGGAGAAGTTTATTTCTGGCAACTAGATAACTTATGAAAACAGAGAAAAGAATATCTGTGAAGCAATCACCTTTCCAGGTGATTGAAAACTATTAAAAGGTTAATAGTTGGAGGTTTTGAACCACCTCATTCTAAAACTAAAAAGAGAAATAATTATGCCTATAGACTTGTACTTTTCTACTGGTTGCTCATATAGACCATAAAACATTTGTCAAGTTGGAAACTGCCCGTATTACAAGCATAGATTTTTTAAAAATTGGATTAGTGTTTAAAACAGTGGTAATTACTCTCTCTTAATATAATTGAAGGTAGAAAACATAATGCTTATGGTTCCCTGCCTTAATAATCAGAGGATTTAAATTGTTTTAAATTTCATATTTAAACATAGCAACATGTTTATAAAGCACAAATATTTTTTCAAGTATTAAAAGTGTATAAAATAATGCTTCCACTTAAAATTCCAAAACAGTTCCCCTACTGATTATCAACAGATCTACCTACCATTACTCTAACAACTTCATTCACAGATACAATAAAATAATGCCCGCAGAAAGCACTTTAATCAGAATATTTTGCAAATGGTTCATGAACATGAAAAATAATTCTTATTGCAAAGATACCAATAAATTTAGAATTGATGTTTTTCTGTCTCCTAAAAAAAAAAGGTTCTTGAGAGTTAAAATTCCTAACACCAATTGCAACATGGGCCTAAAGTCTACACTTCAAGGTCAGCTAAGTTAACAGAACTAATAATCTCCTGGTAAAAAGGTAAGAATCCCAAGCTGTCAGCAGTGCTTCACAGCATGCCAGGAAACTTCAGAGAACCTCAGTTAAATACTTTTACCTTCAGATGACTTAACAGTCCGGATGATATCTAGAACAAATCACCCAACCCCCAAAATAAAACAAAATAAAGGTAAATACATCCACACATAACAAACTTTCAAAGTAGATGGCAGAAATTTTATGGATCCACGTCTGGAAAAAGCCAATATCTTATAGTAGTATTTACAGTTTTATACTAGTTTCCACTTAAATAGTAGTAGTTTAAAATATTATTTGATTCTTTGGGATCCATTACACACATGTCCATTAAATCTTTAAGTAATCAAACTAATAGAAACACATTAATAAAGATAAATAATAAATATATGCAAATACAGAAACATCAAAGTAAAAATTCTCATTCAACAAAATCAAGGCTTTAATCTCCAAAGTTGCCTTTAGTTCTTTACTGTCTTGAGGAAAATGAAAATAGCCAAAAGCCTATGTATTAATACGTCTGAAGAGAGGAGAGGAGCAGACAATGCAGATATGTAACGTGAGGAACACAGGTTTGTCTGAAGCCCTCTCAATTTTATGATGTCACCTAAATCACCTTGTGGAAAAGAACTAGAGACCATGCTGAGAAAGCCTGCAAGTCATGCAGATGAATTGGGGATCAAGATAAGCAATGACAGGATGAAAGATGTACTCTACTCAAACTGAATGCAATCTCCAGAGACTGTAAACTGGAAACACTAGTGTCTAAATTTCCTTGGAACAGATTTAAAGAAAGTACACTCTTAGCCCGATGTATTATAGAACCTAATGTGTACCAAGTTCTTCAAACAAATGATGTTTATAAATCTCCTTTTTTCCATTACACAGGAAGCAGTGGCCTTCAAAGATACAACTTTTTTTTTAAAGCAGAATCACCGTATAGCATAGCAAATCACCATTAAAGGTTTGGCAGAAACTTTTACTTTTTAAAAAGATCTTTGTCTAGCATGACACCATCTGATGTTGTTTGAAGAGTTAATCTTAACATATCCATACACTCTTTCAACCTGGGATCAGACGTTCGCAATCCTGTAGATTTGAGTGCCTGTTTTTAAAAAAATAAGAGTTTGTAAATATATGGTGCAAATAATGTATATGCTTATTCCAACTACAAGATTTTATTCCTGTATATAAAAACTTCTACCCAACACCTGAACATGAATATGGCATCTTAGTGTCACTATTACCCACTTTCTGGACAAGTTTCTCATTGTTTCTTTCTTTTTCTTTCATTGATTACCTTGAAATGAGCATGATAAAAATTTGAAAACATAATAAGAGAAATAGTGTCAGTCAGAATCTACATGTCAGACGACCTTTAAGACTGTATTTCAATACTACCGTATTTTTTATTAAGTATTACTATATTTTTAAGATATAAAAATATAAAAACTTACTGTAATAAATTTATGAACAGGTATTTTCTCTTGTCCTTCCGCAATTGTATAGAACAGCAAATCTTCCAAGCTAGGTAACAGACCCTGTTTTATTTTACTAAAGAGGTAGAAAGAATACAAAATTAATCCTTGTATGAACATTCTAATGGATTTTAGCTAAGTCCATTATTAAATAACCACTGAACCAGACTATAGCTGAGCTTATATACTCAAGACTAGTCATAATAAATGCTGATTTGCCAAAATCAAATCAGTAACACTACAAACCACACTGAAAAACAAGTTAAAAAATAAATCACTAGCACACAGGTATTTTTTAATCCCAGGTTTTGAAACCCTGATCATCAACTCTAGCTGTGTTAATGCCTAACTATCCGTTATGGTGATGCCTTCCTATATAGTCCAGTACAATCACCCAATACAAATCATAGAGCTCAACACATGTTCCAATAAGACTCAATATTCTGACCAGGCGCGGTGGCTCACACCTGTAATCCCAGCACTTTGGGAGGCTGAGGCAGGCGGATCACGAGGTCAGGAGATCGAGACCATACCAGCCAACATGGTGAAACCCCGTCTCTACTAAAAATACAAAAAATTAGCTGGGCGTGGTGGCACGTGCCTGTAATCCCAGCTACTGGGGAGGCTGAGGCAGGAGAATCACTTGAACCAGGGAGTCGGAGGCTGCAGAATGTGCAGCCGAGAATGTGCCACTGCACTCCAGCCTAGATGACAGAGCAAGACTCTGTCTCAAATTTAAAAAAAAAAAGCACTAAGACTCAATATTCTGTTCAGTTGTTTTGGGAGTTTTCTAAATATGATGACTATATTTACCTTTTATTCAAATAGTTAACCTGATTATGAAATCTGGGAGAGACAGCAATTAACTACTGGATAGTAGTTAAGAGCAAGTATACAAGTTCTTGAATCCTGGCTGTAATACTATAGTTGTGTAACCTTGGGTAAATTAATTAACCTTTCTGTGATCCAGTTTCCTCATTTGAGAAAGGGGATAATAGTGTCTCCCTCATAGGGTTGTTGTGAGGATCAGCTGACTCAATATATTCAATATCTTTAGAATACGGCTGGCAGAGAGTAAGACTCAACTGACAGTAGTTGTAGTTATTATTTCTAAAGTGATCTAGGTTTTACCTAACGTAGTCAGTCCTTTGCAGCCACAGATTCAAACAAACAGATAAAAAATTTCAGGAAAAAAATAAAAAACATACAATAAGCCGGGCGCGGTGGCTCAAGCCTGTAATCCCAGCACTTTGGGAGGCCGAGGCGGGTGGATCACGAGGTCAAGAGATCGAGACCATCCTGGTCAATATGGTGAAACCCCGTCTCTACTAAAAATACAAAAAAAATTGGCTGGGCATGGTGGCGCGTGCCTGTAATCCCAGCTACTCAGGAGGCTGAGGCAGGAGAATTGCCTGAACCCAGGAGGCGGAGGTTGCGGTGAGCCGAGATCGTGCCATTGCACTCCAGCCTGGGTAACATGAGTGAAACTCCGTCTCAAAAAGAACTATTTACATAGCATTTATATTATATTAGGTATTATAAGTAATCTAGAGATGATTTAAAACATATGAGAGGATGTAAGTAGGCTACAGACAAATGCTAAGCCATTTTACATAAAAGACTTGAGCTGTGGGGGTCCTGGAACCAATCTCTTAACACACACAGAGGGAAAAGGCAAGATGTATACATCTAACTCTACAAATCATACCTCCATCACCCAGGCTGGAGGTACACTGGCGCGATCTCGGCTCACTGCAACCTCTGCTTCCTGGGTTCAAGCGATTCTCCTGCCTCAGCCTCCCAAGGAGCTGGGACTACAGGCACGTGCCTCCACACCCAGCTAATTTTTTATATTTTTAGTAGGAACAGGGTTTTACCATGTTAGCCAGGATGGTCTCCATCTTCTGACCTAGTGATTTGCCCACCTCGGCCTCCCAAAGTGCTGGGATTACGGGTGTGAGCCACTGTGCTTGACGATTAACCAATTAACCAAACTTTTAAACAATGAATGTCACACAAATGTTTTTTTAAAAACTAACACACAGCTTTATCATTAAAATATTTAATGACATATACTGGATATATAATTATTCCCTGCAACTATTTTTACTCTGACATAATTTTTAAAAATGCATTTGGAGCTGGCATGGTGGCTCACACTTGTAATCCCAGCACTTTGGGAGGCTGAGGCAAGCAGATCACTTGAGGTCAGGAGCACGAGACCAGCCCGTCTAGCACAGTGAAACCCTGTCTCTACTAAAAATACAAAAATTAGGCAGGTATTGTGGTGGGTGCCTGAATCCCAGCTACTCAGGAGGCTGAGGTAGGAGAATGGCTTGAACACTGCAGGCAGAGGTTGCAGTGAACCAAGATCACACCACTGAACTCCAGCCTGGGTGACAGAGCAAGACTCTGTCTCCCCAAAAAAAAAAAAATTGCATTTGAGATGTTTTAGTAACAATAGCTAAAATATATTGATCACTTACTTATGTTCTACACACTGTGCTAAGTGTTTCAACATGCATTCTAACTTAATCCTCCAAGGATCTTATGACAGAGGTACTATTGTTATCCAAAATATATTACGATTTCTGGTACATAGTAGAAGATCAACAAATTTTTTTTTTTTTTTGAGACGGAGTTTCGCTCTTGTTACCCAGGCTGGAGTGCAGTGGCACGATCTCGGCTCACCGCAACCTCCGCCTCCCGGGTTCAGGCAATTCTCCTGCCTCAGCCTCCTGAGTAGCTGGGATTACAGGCACGCGCCACCATGCCCAGCTAATTTTTTGTATTTTTAGTAGAGACGGGGTTTCACCATGTTGACCGGGATGGTCTCGATCTCTTCACCTCGTGATCCACCCGCCTCGGCCTCCCACAGTGCTG